CATTAGGAGAGTGATGATCCTAGCCTAATAAAGGCACTGATAAATACATCAATATCACTTAGCTGGGCAAGATATGATCACAAAGTCATACAGATGTAAGTGACACACTATGACGCAATTAAAATTATTCATATAATGAACTAATTCAGCAAGGAGTATAATGTATTGAAATAATCTTGATTGATAAGCAATATTAGAGATGTGGACAAGAACATTAGAATGAAATCTTGCTGTTTGCAACAATGTGGATGGAACTAGAGTATATTATGCAAAGTGAAATAAGTCAGTCAGAAAAAGCCAAATATGTGATTTCACTCATATGTGGAATTTAAGAAACAAAACATATGAACATAGGGGAAGATACAAAAATAAAACAGGACAAAAACAGAGGAGTGGCAAACCATAAGAGACTGTTGAATACAGAGAACAAATGGAGGGCTGCTGGACGGAGGGTGGTGGGGGATGAGCTAAGCAGGTGATGGGCACTAAGAGGGGCACTTGTTAGGATGAACACTGGATGTTATACGTAAGCAATGAATCACTCAGTTCTACTCCTGAAACCAATACTACACTATATGTTAACTAACTTGAATTTAAATACACAACAACAAAACATTAAAAGGCTTTGCTTCATGTCTTTCACTAAATAAAGGAAGATACCTGGGGAGGGGCAATGACTTGTTCAATTTCAAACTAGTTAGTGACAGACCCCTGATTAAAGAGCCTCTAGTCTAGTACTGCTTCTATAATGTTAAGCAAATCCCAGGAAAAGCCCCATCATCTGCTCATCTTTCCATTTGTGGCCATGGGCCAATTGGTGGTTAAAGTTTCTCTGCATTACTAATAGCTCCTCAGGCCATAACAGCCACACCCAACAACAGTGAGTCAGGGAGGAATCAAGACTTAAACTTGAGAGAGGCAGTACAGAACACCTCAGGTACTAATCTGCCCTCTTTCTCACTAGACTCTTGCTTATGTGTCTTCCTGAGTCCATATTTCACAAGAGTAAGATTCACACGTCACAGAAGCTAGCCTAGAATAAGGAAACAGATGCAAATAGCATTCTGGTTAAGCATTAACATATTCAAGACTATTAGAAATTATAACTTTATGGATATCCACCACTGAATAGTTAGAAAAAAAATGACTTTAATGAAAGACGGCTTTTTAAAGTAATTAGACAGGATGCTTTCATAAGAGGTATTCACAGTAATTAGGAATACATGCATATATCATCTTGGGAACACCTCTTGAGAGACAAGTAATTATCTGGGAAAAGTCTTGCTAGATGCTATCAGACTTTATAAAGTTGACCCAAACGTAATTATGGCAAGCACATAGGGAGAAATAGGAAAGAGTTAGAGAAAAGAGCCAGTAAATGAAAATATGGCCCCTTTAGGGCACAAGTAAGAAGTTACCTGTAACTGGAATTTCCCAGAGGAAAATTCTCTAATAAGGAAATAGGCATACAAAGAAAAAACAAACAAAAGGAAAAAACAAGAAAACAATACGAAAAATTAACCTCTATACAACTTCTAAGGGACAACTGGCAAAAAAAAGAGAATAAAAACAAATCTATGGATTTTTTAAATACAATAAAGATTATATTCTGCTTATCAAAGTAGAATGATTCAGAGCCTGTGTTACTTTAGATAGAAACAAGAGCATATAAATTAGTGAAGCTTAAAAACAAGATATTGCCATTAAAGATGGATATGATACAGTATCATTTTTATTTCCATTCTCAAGGGACTAGAGAGTTAATTTGGTGGTTAGACTTCTAATGCTTGGACCTCTAAGGAAAATGCTTTGGATTCTTTTCATTATTTTAAGATTTCTCCATAATATGACCTTTATTTTCACAATATCTTATGTCAATTGCAAACAGAACGATGAAAATGGACTTAAATTCTTCCCTGAGATCACTTCATGGGTTCTGCTTTGCTGGTTCCTAACCTTACTTGTTTGGCCTCCTATCTCAACAGTTGTATAATGTTGATTACCTAAAAAATCTGCCTGAGAAATGTGAAGGCAAGAAAATTTGTTCTATTCATCAAAATATACATCACTCACTTTATGAAAAAAAAATACCATCCTCTTCATAATGCCATGACAATTCATTGAGAGTGAGCTAATAAAGAGAATTTGTCTTCTGAAAATAGTTAGAAAACAGGAAGTCGATCCTGAAATCTAAAAAGCTTCCATTCATTCTGAAATTATAATAATTTGACTTATATCCACTGAGTAAATGACAGTCATAAAAAAACCACAATTAATCTACAAAGCAATGTGTTCTGATAAGCTTTCACTTCAAAATACTATTTGTTGTTACTTTACAATGTTTTCACAAGACCTTGTCTGATATAGGCTAAATAGTATAACATTTTGTAAAAATGGGGTCAATAACTTCCTTTTCTGGAATACTGGATCCTCCAAACATCTTTAAATAGATATTGTGGCACACGAAGATATTTCCAAAAGACTGGAGAAATATACATTATATACATATATAGACCACTTGACCTCAATATTTAATGTATCTGGGTAGAAATTAAAATGTCCTCCAATGCTTTTGGTAAACAAATTGAGACAAAACTCCAAGTTATCTAGTATGATTAATATTCAGTTGCTATACACTCAAGTTACAAGGTTTAAGTAATTCTTTCTTTGACTTTAGCATGTATATGTATACACAAAATCAAATACAGGAAGAATTCTTTCTTACGTCATGCCATTTTGACTTTGTGGAAGAGAAGGAGAACATGAGATCACTGTTATACAGTATGGACTTCAAGATCCCCATCTTGCCAGTGCAAGTGGGAATTCCTAGCAGACGATGACCAGGCAGAGGATATTACTTTTAGAGGCTCACTAAATAAATAGCTGCCACATTAGAAAGAAAACTACAACAAACATTCATGACTATGTTCAGTTTCTAATGAATGCTAACCCAAGAACTAATGATGTCTCCTGAATTTCATTGTGCATCACAGAAATGCAATGCTCCAAAGGAAACTAGCTGTGGTGTAGGCTGAGGAATTCATAACTACTAAAATTATCATCGTAATATTAACCCTCATTGATGTGTTTTTCAATATTCAATTATTATTATAGTTCAAAAACATACTGTGTCCCCAAACAGAAATTAGCAAATGTTATAGTACAAGATATTTGTTATTTTACCTTTATTAAGATTGATCTATACTCTTGACTTTCCTTCTGCTGTTTTACAAAATACAATTGTATAATTCATCCAAAGAGCATAGGATAGTATGGTTGTAAAAATACTCATAGTTCAATTTAGAAAATGGAACTGACAGTTCAATTCATTCAATAAATTTGGACCCCTACCACATGCCTGATTATGTAGTTAATTTTTATCAAATGGGATAGATTAGTACTTTCTTTAATGTAGTACTGTTAACTTCAGAGCTAAAAGTCTGATTGCTTGAATTCAAAAGGTTTGGGGGAAAAAAATCCCCTTACTTTTGCAAAGCCTACATTTGACATCAGCCTCAGAACATTGTGTCTCCCTAACATGATTGTGAGGCTTTTAGTTGCCTACCTTGCAAACTACAATGTCACTGTGGATTTCAAGGGTCTTATATTTCTCTACTTCATAAAAGCAAGCTTTTGAAGCATTTCTGGGTCTTGTTGACATGAAATAAAGCGATGTCATATATGTGTTGATCCTCAGGTCCCTTTTAGGTCACATTTCTATATTATATTGTATCTCTAAACAAGAAATTAACAATTTATAGTGAAAAATATTAATTCTTTATCTCTTCATTGCAAAACTCTAGGCTGAGTTTAATAAACACCTTGGGAAATTTTGTTATAATCTCAAAACTATCTATCATGATACTGAGTACCTAGAAAATACTCAGTAACTTTGATTGATTAAAAGAAGATTTCTACAGTTCTAGCGTAGCTCTAAAATAGAATTTCTGAGATTTATAAGCCAATGGAAATATTTAATAAAGAGAGGTGCCTGGGTGGCTCAGTGGGTTGAGCATCCGGCTTTGGCTCAGGTCATGATCTCATGGTTTGTGGGTTCGAGCCCCGCATCAGACTCTGTGCTAACAGCTCAGAGCCTGGAGCCTGCTTCAGATTCTGTATCTTCCTCTCTCTCTCTGCCCATCCCCTGCTCACACTGTCTTTCTCTCTCAGAAATAAAAAAATTAAAAAAAAATTTAAAAGTTTTTTTAAAAATTTTAATTAAGAGCACAGAGGCCCTAAAATGCTAAGCACTTCAGGATGTAATTTCAGAGTTTTACATTATCATGCCTGATTTTATACTGTTTCCACAAAACTGAGGAAATAAATAAGTACATCTGTGGTTTATTTAAGAGCATCAACTATATCTACAGCAAGAGTTAGGGCTCAGTCCTTTTGAGTTCAAAACACATTTCAACTGATTTACCAAAAACACATTTCCTTTCAGAGATTAAGGAAAATGTAAGTGCCTTGACTCAATGTGTCCCATCATCTCATTCCCAGTCCACACACTATAGCCTTCACGGGCAGAAGAAGGTGGATGTACAGTAAGAAGAGAAGGAAATCCCCACCTAGAGCAGGATCCTAACACCACTCTGTTAAATATACAGAGATACGGGAAGTATGATCCTCCTATGTATTTGTATTCCCAGGTATATTTCCTGAGAATAATAGGCATGGTCCACACATACAGAGATTATTTTAACATACATATCTGTTACACTACTTTGATGCTTTTCCATGTTTCTTATTTTTCCTTTAGAGTGGAATAAGTAAGTCACAGGGATGAAAAGTACAATGTAGGGAATGTAGTCAATGGTATTGTAATAGTGTTGTATGGTGACAGATGGTAACTGCACTCATGGTGAGCACCCCATAAGGTACAGACTTGGTGAATCACCACGTTGCACACCTGAAACTAATGTAACGCTGTATGTCAACTATACTTCAATTTAAAAAAGTTTCACTGAGAAACAATTTCATTTAGAAATGGAAAAGATTACCTTTCGTGCTTCTTTTATCATCTTCCGAATGGTTTCCTTAATTGTAAGTAAGTGTGCTCTTGGTGGATGAAAGAGGAGGTCTATATGGGTACCACCTAAGAGTCCGGGCATCACATACGGCCAGCCTAAGTCAAGATTTGGAGCTTCCACGTCTGACTCAATGGGCCAGTAGGTCCCTGAAGATGAGGTATCGTCGTAGGAGTTATCAGTACCATATGCCGTACTTTGTGCAACTTTCTGGACGTTTTTCAAAATATAATTAATTTCTTCTTCAGCTAGAAAGTCTGATACTCGTTCCTTGGCAAGAAACTCTTGGTATGCTTCTAACCCATGTTCGATCAGTGCATCAATGGCTACTCGATACCATTCCTTGTAGTGAGGCTCAATATAATTGTCCGATTTACACTCATCATTCAGTGAGGACAGCATTGATGAGGTTTCCATGCTTGCGAGCATTTGACAACAGTACTTTCAAACACTTTCAAATGTCCATTTGTGCAGTGACGAGAGGTATGTGGGTGCTTGAAAAGAAGGAAATGAAGATCAGTTAGAATTCTGTAACGAAATACTTAATGACCCACATCAATCATTATTTTTACATTTACTCATTTCCACTACCAGTAGCTCAATAAGACATCACATCCAAAGTGACATTAGTTGCACCCTAATTCACACATGTATTACAAAAAAGCTAAACAGATTTCCTTTTATTTATTTTTTTAACATTTATTCATTTTTGAGAGTAGAAAGACAGAGCGTGAGTAGGGTAGGGGCAGAGACAGTGGGAGACACATGTCAGAAGCAGGCTCCAGGCTCTGAGCTGTCAGCACAGAGCCCAATGCAGGGCTCGAACCCATGAACAGAGAAATAATGACCTGAGCTGAAGTTGGATGCTTAACCAACTGAGCTACCCAGGCACCCCCAAATTCCCTTTTACAGGTCTCTAGTTGGTTTCATTTTTCCAAGGTACCCCTACTTTCAGTTCCTCACCTAAGGAAATATACCTTCTTTTCTCTGACATCCAGAAAGGTCAGCCTTCTTAACTTTAATCTGAGACTACGTATGGCCGTTTGTTTCTATAAGCTTTCTTGATTTTGGTTTTACAATTTTTTTAATAGGAAACAATCAGTACCTAGCCATCCATTAATAGAAGCTTTTACTAAGTATTTGTGATGCATATAATCCCATATTAAAAATATAAAAAGCATGAAATACTTGCCTTCCAGAAATGTATCAATTAGATGAAGATGCAAAACAAAATGTACACACAAAGCTATCTATTATCACTCTGAACAAAGCCATATGTTGCTGAGGACCAAAATGCGTACTGTTTCTATTGAATGCTTTCAGATAAAAGCAAGTAGATATCAATATGGAATAAATGAGCTATGGATAGCCCTGTGCAGGACTTAGGTTTCAGCTGAACCTAGGATGATGAGTAAGAATATGATCAGGTAGCAAGAAGGAATATTTTAATGCCAAACAAGAGTGAAAAACATAAGCAAAAGCAAAGAACAGGCATGAGCTTGGTATATTTACGAGCTAATAAAAACAAAAACAAACAAAACAAAAAAACTTGGTCTGCTGGAAAGTATGCTCCTTTCACTGCAAGTAGGAGATAAATTTGAATAGACACAATACAGCAAGGTGGAGGGACACAGATTTCTGCGATTTAACAAAACCAGTGTTTAAAACAATTAGTCTGGCAGTATTGGGGGAACTGAGGATAGACAAGTACCTAGATCTTTCAGTGTTCAAACACCCGGTGAAGAAGTGACAACATTTGTGAGCTGGTTCAAAGTAAGAACTCTTGAGATTAGATGCTTTGACAGCATTTAGGTGATGAAGAAATTTAAGGTATCAAAGATGATTCAGGGACTTCTCTTAGGAATCCAAATCTGCCTAAGCTCATACCCCAACTCTCGCAATGCTCACAAACTGTCATTCATTCAATCATTCACTGCATAAGACACCCAACTAGACTTTATCTCAATCAAATAAGGGACTGTCCAATCTTTTTAAGCCATGCTCTCCGTTGTGCAGATTCAAACAAAATACAACTCTATGAGGCACTAAAGGGCTAATTTGACCAAGAACATCTTTGTCGAGGGCCCTGTCTTAATTTAAAATTCTCCACTTAATCCAGCCTTTTCAGACTCAGGACTATGGAAACTCAAATCTGATTTGGGAGGATAACCCACAAAGCCGTAACAATTTATTAACTCCTTAGCTCGAAAGATGTAACAAGTCACTAATCATACAGACAAGTTGTGAAGGAATGGAAAATATTGCCACAAGTTTTGCTGAAAGGGTGGGGGTGGATCAGAAAAAAAATCAACACAGATTAAGGTAGAACTAAAGAAGAAAGAAGATAAAAGGGTCCACTTGGCTCTTTTAGTGGAGACAATCCTGTCCCCTAAGCTCAAAATTTTCACCAACAAAGTCCAAAAGTATAGAAAGCCTAAAGGTTAAATCTGATACAAGAAAAAAAGTAGAACATGTTTATGCTACTGGCATGTAGTGTACAGAGGCCAGGGATAATGTTGAATATACTTCGATACACAGGACAGCCACCTGCATTAAGATATTATGTGACCCAAAATTGAGAAATCTTCATCAAGTTGCTCAATTAATATGCGTAGTATCATATTACGAACTTATGACCTTTCTGATGTTCATTAAGGTTCTTTTTTGCACATGATACTAGACTCATTTTTAACAAAGCAATAGGATTTTATTTCCTTGATAGAATTAACCCATTTAATTAAAGTGTAATTAAAGTGTAGTTCCCTAAGGTTTAGCGAGGTGTGGTTTTCGTTGGACAATTCCAGTCCATGAAGGGACAGACATCCAGTGATCACATGAAAATGACATCTATTATTTGTAATTGTTTAAGATGGGAGTTAACTACTGGTTTGTAACAAAACTTTTAAATTTTCTTAGCACTTATTTCCTAATGTTTTAAATTTAACTTTTGAATTCCTGTAATGCGATGGTAAACACTAAAATTATCTACTTGTAAGTTAAAATGCATGACAGTACTTGAAAACTGTATTGATTTCTGAGCTTTACCTAGGTAAATGTACACTCTGCAACTGTAAAAATTCATTCTTGAGCTATGGGTAAGCTGAGAAATCAGAGAGATCAAAAGGACCATGAAAGCAAAATAAAACCATAAAGACATACATGAAAAGTTGATTATGAGGGAAAAAAATAAATGAAGATATAAAAAAGTAAAACACAATGGGACTAATCAAATGGGAATGCCAGATACAATGAAGAAAAATACATCATAGAAAAATATGCTACAGCCATAAGCAAGAAAGTTGAGATATTATGTAAAAGAGTTAGGATAAAAAAAAAAAAAATAAACATGCTTGGGGCACCTGGGTGGCACAGTCAGTTAATGTCTGACTCTTGATTTCAGCTCAGGTCACGATCTCACAGTTCATGAGATCAAGCCCTGCATCTGGTTCCGTGCTGACAGTGTGGAGCCTGCTTGGGATTCTCTCTCTCTGACCCTTTCCCACTTGCATATGGGTGCACTCTCTCTTTCTCTCTCATTTTAAATAAATAAACATGAAAGAAAACCTTTTTTTAAATAAAATAAAAATATGCTTGATGTTGTCCTGCTAGAAAAGCTATGCCCTCTAACCACTGTCTAAAGACCAGCATTTATCATAAGAGCTGTATACAAGGGATAATTGCAAAGGAATCACTTACAAACAAATTTTAAGGGAGAAGAGTAAGGTAATGGCACTTGCATAAATGGGTATTGCAATAAAATAGCACTTATATTTAGTTACAGACTTAATACGGCTCAAGAGTTTAATCACTGAACATTTTAAGGGCTTAATTTGAGGACAAAATTAATTGGGTATGCCTTTAAACATGCAAAGGTGTATTATTTTATTAATAACCATTAAAAACTCCTAGAAAGTATATAAACATACGTAATAGAGTTAATGAGTAGAGAAAAATAAAATTTCACTATGATATAAAAGCTGAACAGATCACTAGGCTCATCTGCTAGTTAAGTGACTCATTCCAAAAAAACAGGCTTACAAAATATGGGATTCAAATCCATGCCTCAAAAGCATCACAAATTCATTTCATATCGAATCTTTGCGTGTCATTCATGGACAGTATAAATTCCAAATGTTAAATCCGTAAATACAAAGAATGTAAAACAAGATATTAAACACCAGACTTCAATTCATGGGCTACTCTGGAAAACAATTCAGCAGTTTCATTATAAAACTATGTAAATCACATACTTGTTTATGGTTTCTGTCTGAGAAGAAGATTCATTTGAAGACATGTCAATGGATAAATGCTCCAAGGAGAAATGAAAACTTCCTTAAATCACAAATAGTCCGGGGTTATGATTAGCAAAGTGGAAGCAGATGACCCAAAGGTAAGACTTTGAAACCAATACAAAAAGGGGAGCCTGAGAGGCTCAGCTGGTTAAGTGACTGACTCTTGATTTCAGCTCAGGCCTTGATCTCATGGTTTGTGGATTCATGCCTCCTGTTGGGCTACGTACTGACAGTGCAGAGCCTGCTTGGGATTCTCTCTCTCTGTCTCTCTCTCCTTCTCCCTCTTCTTCTGCCCCTCTCTTGCTCCTATGCTCTTTGTCCCACTCTCAAAATAAATAAATAAACTTTAAAAAATGCAAAAAGGATCACAGCTGCTGTTGTCTCTGAGGTCCATTTTCCAACTTCTGTCTTAGGCTGTTTCTATTAAACTACTAAATGCTGTTATGGATTAAATATGTCCTCTAACAAAGGTATGTTGAACCAGAAGCCCTTGGTACAAGTGAATGTGATCTTCTTTGGAAATAGGGTCTTCTTGGTAAATGTAATCAAGTTAAGATAAGGTCATATTTAATTAGGGTGGGGCCTAACACCATATGACAGGTGCCATTATAAGGAGAGAGTTGACACAAACAAACAGAATTCCAAGTGACTACAGAAGCAGAAACTGAAAAGCTGAGGATTACTGGCAACACTAGACATGGAGCAGACTCTTCCCTAGAACCTTCAGACAGAACACTGTCCTAGCATCACCTTGACTTGGAACTGCTAGCCTCCAGAGCTATGAGAAAATAAATTCCATTGTTTTAAGCCAAAATTTGTGATATTTTGATATAGCGGCACCAAGAAGCTAACACAAATGTATATAAAGATCATCTTTATTTTTTAAACCTTAAAATTTTTAAATAAAGGTACTTAAGAGATTTTTATGAAGTAATTTCCCACCCAGAAATGATTCCAAGTGTTTTTTTTTTTTTCTAGTTTATGTGATGATATAAAACTAGGTCTCTGACATAACTTTAAGGTTGAACAAAATTATTAAAGAACATGTCTTTTAAATATTGACAAAAAAGTTAACTCAATCTTTTTTTGGAAGGGGGTAACTGACTTTATATGTCAAAATATCTACCTAGAGAATATGAGAAGATGTTTCATTAAGGAGTATTTCAGAACATCTCTGCCTTATAAAATCATAATCCATGGTC